GACACCTGCACTAATAATAGAAATATATTTTATAATTTGATCGTGTTCACTGGAGCGTATAGCCCTGCACCCACAACCTGGCTGTAATGTGCAATTTTTGAATAGCAGAGCCCTTAATGCAGTGATGAAATCTTTCAGTCACATTCCTTAGCTTCTGGAGTTGGATAATTTTGCATGCAAGCAGTTTTAATTAAATGTTTATTATTGCGTGATCTGTTTTAATTCACATGGTGTCCGTCATGACGGCTAATGAAACTTTCATGATGACTCCTGGTTTAATAATTCAAATATATCTAAAGTTTTTTTGTCTGCTAATAATAAGTTTCTATCTTGCTGGTCTTATTGTATGCTGGTCTAATTGCAGCTGTATTTCAGTAGATAAATGTTCACTTCAACTTGTTTCTAGTTTGTGTCTTTCATTCCTATAAAGTTTTCGGCTCTCCTTTAAATAACGGTCGCTAGCTGGAAGGCGACCGTCGCTTAGTCGGAGTTCACTCCCTTGGCTGCAGTGCAAATACGGAGTGGTAAAGAGGAAACGAAACAAATGATATAGTTACCTGTCATCCTAGCGTTAGGCTTAGGGTTTGGGTTATGATTTGGGGTAGGGTTAGGGTTAGGGTTTGGGGTAGGCTTATGCTTTGGGTTAGGGTGACACATCACGGAAACGATGGAAGCTTATCGCTCATTACGACATACAGATCAGCAGGTCTCACATTTACGGTCACTAATTCGTGCGTTGGAAGAACGCGGTTGCTAGTGTGAGTCGCAGGGCGTGGTCTACGAGCGGCGTGCATCGCAAGACAGCGGTCGCTACTGTCAGTCGCAGCGTGTGGTCTAGCTCTAGCAGGCATGTCAACCTAACTTTGTTTTTTGATTCGTGACTTGTCCGCTCCGTATTTGCACTGCAGCCAAGGGAGTGAACTCTGACTAAGTGGCCGTCGCCTTCCAGCTAGCGACCCTTATTTAAAGGAGAGCCAAGTTTTCTTACCTAAGTCCCAAACCAAATTCGTGACTTAACTCTTTCAGTTAAAGATGAATCTCTAAGTTGAAAACAATTCACCCAGGATTGCCTCAGGGATCACCTTTACCCCCAGTCCTCTTCAGTATTTTCACTACAGAGGTGACAGAATGTCAAATCCATGGTAAAAGAAGAACAATTTCAGACGATGATGACACAGTAGTGTGCCGCCAAGGCAAGAACAGGGGCATAATTGTAGAAGAACTCCAGAAGGAACTGGGACGCATAGCAGATTGGTGTCAAACCTCTGGAGCACAAACCCTGCAAAAACAGCGGCAACATGGTTTTCTTTGAACAGTCACATAGAACACACAATAGTGCCTTGTGTGCATATGAATGGCGAAGAGATAGCAAAGACTGAACTTTTCAAATACCTGGCAGTGTGGCTTTAGCTACAGATTCCAGGTTGATACTATGATTAACCCTCTTAGCACAGACGGGTTGATTATCGGCCGGCGGATGTCTGGCCAAAAACACGGAACGGCCGATGATCGGCCCGATCGTGTTTCGCCTCGAACCGCTAAGAAATCTCCTACTTTGAAACACTGAAAGTGTTTCATTTATATTAACTGCGGTATCAGCTTTACACATGGCGACTTTCGAGTGTTTGGTATCGATGTGAAAATTGTTGTTGAATTTTTTAGATAGTGACCTGAACCACTAAAAGTATGTCTGACTCGTATGTTTCTGCCTCTAAACTTGATGTTGATTAAACATTTGAATCAAGTGATGACACTAATTCTGTTGATACTGATGCAGGATTTAGTGTTAGTAGTAATAGTGGGAATCAGATGGGGACGCTGTTGTGTTCAGACCACAGCCCAACCATGGCTCAGGGTATATCCACCCAAAGGTGTTGACACTCCGGCACATCCATTTCTAGTGCTGACTGATGGTGAAAAACACATGTCACCTAAAGATATTATTGCTGTTTCACATATATATACCTGTTTTTGACTATTGAATTGCTTACAACATTTGTAAAAAGGCCAAAGATCAATAAAAAGATTTCAAATAAAAAAAATTTTTGTTTTTAGTTTTATGTTTCAAGCATTGAAGTTGAAAATTCAAATTCATATTTTCTATTTTTAGATATGCAAATGAGATAATTTGCATATACATAAATTAATTTTAACGATATTGTGAAAATCACGAACTTCAATCTATATCCTTCAAATAAATATATTATTTCATAGGGGTCAGAATAAGAGAAATCTGTCAAAAAAATTAAAAAAAGTAATAACCAAATTCACTGAAAAAATGCTCCGTGTTTTTGGCTAGACCTCTGAAAAACTTCCCGTGCTAAAAGGGTTAACAAGTCTAGAAAGGGTTTGGTTGCAATGAGTTATAGCTACCATGTGTGGTCAACAAAAGCTGCTAGTCATCCTCTATCCGGGTTTGATTCTCTCTGTCATAGAATATTTGCACTGGCAATCTTCACCCTCAGCAAGACAAAACAACAGACTGGAAAAGGTATGAAATGAAGCAGTGAACATCATACTTGGCTGCACCAGAGAGGGATGGTGTAGAGCAGTGAGATACCTATTAGATCTTCCAGATATAAACAACAGGCTTGAAATGCTCCAAGTATATGCCTACCTAAAAGGCAACATCCTTCCAAAAGAGGATAACCCCACATTTTTGGGAGTAAAATTCAACAAAAGACTAACCAGGGGCCCCCGCATTGCAGACACCCAAAAGAAAGCTACCCTGAGGCTCAGACTTATGAAGAAATTTACCGGGGCGCAGATATCAACATTGTACGACAAGTATACACTGGATACGTACGACCAAAACTGGAGTATGGCATGGGAGCATACTCCACTGCAGCCAAATCAAACCTACATAAACTGGACAAAATACAGAACAATGATCTCAGAATCATCACTGGAGGTATGAGAAGGACACCAATCCATGAGCTGGAGGCAACTTATGGCCTCCAGAGCTTGAGCCTTCAAAGGGAAGACAAGGTGCTTACCCTAACAGAAAATTGTAAACACATGAACAACAACCCCATGCCAGAATAGCAAATAACTTAACTAAAAACCGACTGAAAAGATAAAGCTTTTACCATCCATCAAAATTTTACTACACAAAAAACAGTGACATCCTTTCTCAAGATCTATCAACATGGGAAATGATCCAGACATACAGCATAGACCTACAGCCTAAAAATACAGTCACAACAACAATTCCAGGCATAGACAGAAATGCTGAAGAATATGACCTAGTACTGCATGCAAAGACCCTTGAACATGTCTGCAAGTGTTATCCAAGACCCGAATGGACACACGTGTACATCGATAGATCATTGGAGGGAGCAGACAAAAATGGAGGAGCTGGATCGGTCATCTTGCTGCAAGATGGGACCACTGCATAAATGTCATGCACCTCTGGAAAACTCTTAACAAACTTTAGAGCAGTGCAGCAAGCAATTATTGATTAAGCCAAAGTGCTTGATAAAAGAAAAATTAAAAAACAGCAAAATTGTTTTCCTTTGTGACAGCATGTCAGTTCTCCAGGCGACTCAAAGGGATCCACAAGACAACATAGAGATAGAATTGACCTGCAAGCGAAACAGACTCACAGAAAACAATCAAATTGTTCTTCATTGGATCCTGGCTCACTGCGGTATACCAGGAAACGAGTTAGCAGACATATTTGCTAAAAATAGAACAAAGGAGAAACAACACACCCACCCATTGTTACCAGAAATCAAAACACTTGTCAAGGGAAAATACAAGGAATTGTGAAGAGAAAAAACTAACAGTAAACATCCACAAGACCCCATCAGCAAACTCAACAGAAAGGAACATACAACATTTTGCTGCCTACGAACAGGACACTGCAGGCTCAACTACCACATGCATAAAACAAAGATTGTACAGTCCCCACAGTATGCCTGTCAATCAGAACCACAAACACCCGAGCACATTCTGCAGACCTGCACACTCTACATACAACTTTGAAAAGACACCTGGCCTCAAGAACAAAGTGTGCAGTGCAAGCTATGGGGATCCATGAAGGACCTGCTACTGACATGCAAGTTCACAGAGGCAACCCACCTGATTTTCTGATCTGATCATACAAAACCGAACGCAAAGAAGAAGAAGAAATGAACAACGACCAATGAAGTTCCAGATGGTCATAGTCAGTGACCAGTAGCGACAGTAATAACAACAGAAATATGGGTATACTATATCCGCAGAGACTAAATATACTGCAAAATAGAGGAGGCAGGTATGTTGCACTGTCTAAACTTCTATGGGAGCCATGGAAGCCTAGTAGCTTGCGTGCCAGTTCAAACATGATGAGCTTGATGACAGACTTTTGATAATTAACCTGGCTTCTCAGGTTCAACCAGCATAATATAAGTACCACGGAAATGTCTTCAAAAGTAAAGATGGTGTCCATAATATTGACCACATTACTCATTACTGATTAGTGTGTAAAGATATGGAATTAGCACCATATGTTCAGAATGTCAGTAGTGTTAAAAGAGCTCCTTAATTGTACTTACGTTTAGTTTGCCTCTAACATTGTATATGATTTTGCTTACTTTTAGTTTGCCTCTAAAATTGTATATGATTATGCTTACTTTTAGTTTGCCACTAACATTGTAAATGATTTTGCTTACTTTTAGTTTGCCTCTAACATTGTATATGATTTTGCTTACTTTTAGTTTGCCTCTAACATTGTATATGATTTTGCTTACTTTTAGTTTGCCTCTCACATTGTATATGATTTTGCTTATTTTTAGTTTGCCTCTAACATTGTATATAATTTTGCTTACTTTTAGTTTGCCTCTAACATTGTATATGATTTTACTTACTTTTAGTTTGTCTCTAACATTGTATATGATTTTACTTACTTTTAATTTGCCTCTAACATTGTATATGATTTTACCTAATTTTAATTTGTCTCTAAAATTGTATAATTATTTTCTTTTACCAGAAGTGTAAGGTGCTGAATAAGGATTATAATGTCGGATATAAGTGATTCATCCGCAGTCAACAAATCAGCCACCATGCTACAAATGTACAAGAGGGAGCCCAGCAGAAGGTTCGTATTCTTCATATTGATTGTTTATCCCTGCTGAAAGATGTCTCTTTTCCTAATTCTCACATATCATTTACTGAAGGCAGCGGTTCTCAACCTACAGATTGTGACCTTTTTTGGGGGGGAGTTGAATGACTCTTTCACAGGGTCACCTCAGACCATCGGAAAACCAAAATTAATTGAAGTTATGAAGGAAAAAAATTGTTTGTGGGTCACCATGTGAGAGAACTTTATTAACTTTTTGAGTCCCAGGGGGTTTAGTATGAGAGGCCCAAGGGGAAGTCAAGAGAGATGTGAAATCGGCGCATCTTGCATTTATTAGGCCTCTAGGTGGGAACCTAGGAACGTATGATTTGTTCATTGGGACTGAAAGAGTTAAAGGGTCGAGGCATTAGGAAGGTTGAGAACCATTGCTGTATTGGTATATGCATCTTTCTGTAACCCACACAAGCAGTTAAGTGAAAAAATATGTGGCTTCTTGATCCACACATTGCCATTAAATGTAGGATACATTTCCCTAAAACACACATGCCATTAAATGTAGGATACATTTCCCTAAAACACACATTGCCATTAAATGTAGGATACATTTCCCTAAAACACACATTGCCATTAAATGTAGGATACATTTCCCTAAAACACACATGCCATTAAATGTAGGATACATTTCCCTAAAACACACATTGCCATTAAATGTAGGATACATTTCCCTAAAACACACATTGCCATTAAATGTTGGATACATTTCCCTAAAACACACATTGCCATTCAATGTAGGATACATTTCCCTAAAACACACATGCCATTAAATCTTCTTCTTATTCTTCTTTGCGTTCAGTTTTGGATATTCAGGCCAGACCGTCAGGTGTGCTGACTCTGTGAACTCATATGTCAGCTTGCTCTGCACACTTTGCGCTTGAGACCAGGTTTCTTTTCGTATTTGTAGGTAGAGTGGGCAGGCCTGCAGAATGTGCTCAGGTGTTTGGGGTCCTGTCTGACATACACACTGTTGGACTGTGATTGATTGGCATCTTTCCGTCTTTTCAGATAATAGTGTTATATTGCCCTATGAGGAGGCAAGGGACTGACAGCCCATGGCGATGGTGAGTGTGACTAGCAAGGCCCTCCCACATTGAGAAAAGTCTTTCACAATTATAGCATGGGATTCAGAATCATTGCTGTCAGCATTTGTATTTGATGTGTTTCTTCTCAGATGCTCAGCTCTCTTCCTTTCTGCAATCAATTCTTTCTTCATTCTCATTCCCTTCCTGATGGGTCCTCTACACACAGAATGGCTTATGGCATTTTGTTTCCACGAGTCCACCATAATACCTGTATCATTCGTGTCTCCTTCTCATTTCCTTGCCAATGATGCCCCCCTACACACAACACAGTCAATGGCATTTTGTTACCATGAGTCCACCGTAATACCTGTATTATTCAAGTCCCGCTTACACATATCTTTATATCGTAGTAGAGGTCAGTGTTGAGATCTTCTACCCATCTTTAATTCACCATAGAGGATGTCCTTAGTGACTCTGTCATCTTCCATTCTCCAGGTGTGACCCAGCCACCTGAACCTTCATAGACTGAGCATTGAGAAGACTGTTGTAATACCTGCTCTTTCCAATACCTCAGCATTTGTGATCTTGTCCTGCCACTTAATACAACATATTCTTCTTAGGCATCGCATGTGAAAGCTATTTAGCCGTTTCTTCTGGTGCAGATAAATTGCCCAAGTTTCACTGCCATAGTGCAGAGTGCTGAGAACACAGGCCTGATTGACAAATTGACAAGAGTTTGGGGGGGGGGGGGGGGGGGGGGGGGGGGGGGGGGGGTTATTGTGGTAGGTGGTTGGGGAGGGAAGATGTGGAATTGTGGTGGGTGGTTGGAGAAGAGGGGGGTGTGGAGGGGGGAATGTACGTGTGGGGGGGGGGGGGGGGGGGGGGGGGGTGGGTGGGTTGGGGGGGGGGGGGGTGGGGGGGGGGGTGGGGGGGGGTGTGGGGGGTTGGGGGGGGGGGGGGGGGGGGGGGGGGGGGGGGTTTGGTGGGGTGGGGGGGGGGGGTGGTGGGTGGGGGGGGTGGGTGGGGGTGGGGGGGTGGGGGTGGGTGGGGTGGGGGGGGGGGGGTGTGGGTGGGGGGGGGGGGGGGTGGGTCTTTATTTTATGCATGTGGTAGTTGAGCCAATTATAGCAGAAGGCATGGTGCCAGGAATGAGGGGCAGGGGCCGACCGACACGAAGATGGGCACAGGATATAGGTGACTTCTTGAATGTGAAAATGCATGAAGCGGGAGAACTGGCGAGAGACCGAGTTTCTTTCAGGCAGAGTGTGATGAGAGCGACGTTCTGCAAAGGACCTGCTACATGATGATGATGATGATGGAAGTTGAGCCTGCAGTGTCCTCTTCTTAAATGGAAAATTGTTGTATGTTGCGTTCTGTTAAATATGCCATTAAATGTAGGATTATACCTTTCTTTTCCAAATCCACACATGCCATTAAATTTAGAACTGTATCTCTCTTTCCCTTATCCACACATGTACTTTGGGGGCAGATACTAGTACAATGTGTATGTATATGTTCAGAGATAAGTTGAGAATTTTGATCATGCTTGTTTACTTGTTGTTTGCTGCATACAGAGTGTTTGTAAACAGAAGCCTTATGCTGGAGAAGGTCAAATTCTTCGGTTTTGATATGGACTACACACTAGCAGGTATGTTTCCTATCGTGTCATGTTCTTTGTGATATGTATTATTGTTATGTCCATTGTCACATTTGTCCCTGCTATATTTTTTGTGTGTGACATGTATTAGCTCTATGTACTTTTTGACATATATCAGTGTTATTTTATTTGTCACATGTAGTTGTGTATCACTGTTATGTGTGGCAGTGTTGTTTATGACATATACCACTGTTATGTGTGGTAGTTTCATTGTGACATGTACCACTGTTAAGTAGCTTCTTCTTTTTAATTCTTTCTTCCTTCCTCCCTCCCTCCCTTCCTTCCTTCCTTCCTTCCTTCCTTCCTTCCTTCCTTCCTTCCTTCCTTCCTTCCTTCCTTCCTTCCTTCCTTCCTTCCTTCCTTCCTTCCTTCCTTCCTTCCTTCCTTCCTTCCTTCCTTCCTTCCTTCCTTCCTTCCTTCCTTCCTTCCTTCCTTCCTTCCTTCCTTCCTTCCTTCCTTCCTTCCTTCCTTCCTTCCTTCCTTCCTTCCTTCCTTCCCTTCCTTCCTTCCTTCCTTCCTTCCTTCCTTCCTTCCTTCCTTCCTTCCTTCCTTCCTTCCTTCCTTCCTTCCTCCTCCTTCTTTTCTTCTTCTTCTTCTTCTTCTTCTTCTTCTTCTTCTTCTTCTTCTTCTTCTTCTTCTTCTTCTTCTTCTTCTTCTTCTTCTTCTTCTTCTTCTTTTTCTTCTTCTTCTTCTTCTTCTTCTTCTTCTTCTTCTTCTTCTTCTTCTTCTTCTTCTTCTTCTTCTTCTTCTTCTTCTTCTTCTTCTTCTTCTTTTTCTTCTTCTTCTTTGTGTTCTTTGTCTTCTTCTTAATCACCCTTAAAAAAGAGGTTGGCATATTATGTTGTGCTGGAATATCTACACCTCTCGACCTAGTACATTCAAATTCTGCAGACTCTGAATTGGTTACCTTTTATGACATGTTTGTAATAGGACAGTGGGTCTTTTCTCCTCCTTTCACCGGATGGGACCCCTGAACCCACATAGGTTTATTTAATATTTTCCTTCAATTGGTTACTCTCTATCTGCAAAATGGAGACATAACACATTCAAAGAAATAAAAATTGCATCTCAGTTATTATTAACAAGTTTTCTCAGTAAGCTGTGATAATCCTTTGAGCTAAAGTTTTACTGGAAGTTCTCTGACGTAACTAACCCCCACACAACAATTTTTCAGGATTCAGAAATATGAAATGTGGTTGTGAACTGGTTGGCAGCCATTCATTGTTTAATAAAAATACTAGCAGGTTATTAAATCTTTTCAAGAAATATTCAACAATAGGATCACAGTGAACAGACATCTGAACTGTACTTTATGCACTGACGGTAAAATATTATATTCTTAATGAATGATTTGAAAATGATTTATAAAGCAACAAAGGTGAAAGAAAATCAGTAGATTAAATGACTCAAATAATACTTTGCAGAATTAATCGCCTAGCATATTTCCCTTTATTTCATCAGATGTATTAATACAGAATTTAAATTTACAAATAATGAACCGCAAAAATTACTTCTTTCAACTCTAATACAAAAATTACATACTTGATTGTTACACTATGGAAGTATAAGATTAAGCTTGTGATCCTCGTGTTTGCATAGCATCGGAGTGCCTATTTGCCTTCAGATTATTTGTCTTTTTATTTAAATTTGTTATGGGGAAACTTTGTTTTGAATATCAGTAGTTCTCGAAGTGGGCAGAAAAAAAGCTGTTTAATTGTGTGTGGTGGGAACAACTAGAAATGTGTAAATATTTTAATTCACATTATTCCTAATATAAAAAGAAAGGTTTGAACTGTAAATTTATGTAAGTATGAGTGTCTGCATGTCTCTGTCTGTCTGTCCGTGTATCCGCCCGTCTATCTGGCTGGATGGATGGATGTGGGGAAAGAACTACATATCATAAGAAATTATAATTAGGTAAGAATACACCAGCCCGGTGTGACCAGCTGCCCTGTGCAGGCAGGGATGATCTGCAGAAGCTGTTGAAAAGTATAGGCTCTTATAATACCAGCAATGAGTTAGTTGTTTATGTAAGTAAGTACCCTTTTCCACGCCTTCAGGCATATTGGGCATATAGGGCTAGACCTATAATTTATAGACCAGTCGGCACTGGGTGGGTGATGTGGTCAGCACCACACCAGCCCCATTTTAGTTCCGAGGACTTCACCTGGCACCCACTCAAGGCTGGGTTGACCTGAGAGCCAAGGTCATTTCTGAAAAAAGTCTGGGTTATGTTTGTATCTACTCTATTCTTAGCTTTATTCCTTCATGCTCTTGCTAAATTAATTCCTTCTTTATTTTAGTGTTCACTCCGACTGTACACTCCAATTGAAAAGTTATGGTTGTTTGTTTATTTCTTAACTTTAGTCTTGTTACAGAACTTGAGTTTTCCATGCGCATTCATTTTACAGTTCTGACTTATTTGTATGCAGACTGTTGATTCCTCTCCTCTCAGGGCAGATGTACCTGACTTAAAAAAACAACTCGTCCAATTAGTCACCTGGTACGGCATGCATGTTAAGGAGGTAGAGGGTCCATTATTTTCCCTCCAAAATGGGGCCCCGGAAAATTGTTATCCCTGATTTCACTAGCCATAGCTTACATTGTCTATAGATGTGTTTCCTTATAGCTAACATTGTCTATAGATGTGTTTCCTTGTATTCATTATCCTGCTGTGCCACTATATGTCACATGGGGCACACAGTCTTTTCCCCCACTCCATTTTATCCAGTGCAATCAGTTCAACATCATGGATGGAAGCTTTGGCCATTTTCATCAACCTTCATCGTAGGGTTTCTTTTGGGCGTCCTCGACTCCTCAATCCCTTTATTTCTCATTTTAATTTCTTTTTGAGGATTCTCTGCTTGTTTCTTCTCAGGATGTGTCCGATGTAGTGCCATCTTCTTTGTCTTATAACTGTTGATACAAATGGCTGCCGAGACATTTCCTTGTATAACAGGCTTTTATTTAGTGGCTGTATTCGGCTGAATGTCATTGTTGTCTTTGAGAGAACCAGTCAGTCAGTCTTTTCATTTCTACATACACCTGCATAGTTTGAACAGTAGAATCACTTCAACTTCCCTTTAGGGTTCTGGGAGCCCATGTTGAAGGGAAAAAGAACACAATCACTGTCCTAAGCAAGCATGTTGTAAGAGGAGACTGATTAGGGATTTGCTGAAGAAGAAGAAGAAGAAGACTACACCTCTGGTGCATACATTTTCAGCTGTATAAGAAGCAGGTCACTTTTCTCCAGACTAAGTGTGCAGGGCATATTTATGAACTTGATGTGGAGAACGACCTCTGAAAGTTTAATCTAATACCGAACAAATTCAAAGCCATCATACACACAGACCATCCACAGGTTACTTCCTAACCGTTTTGTAGTTTCTCAAAATGACTTCTGAATGGCTATACAGTTGAAAGATGTTTTCTGGATGTGTACCTGTTTGACTCTCACCCTTGAGATGTTAATTATACAGACTAAAATCCTGGAGGGGAAAAAAAAACCTTTAAGGAAAAAAAATAGTTAAAACACAATACAACCAGAGGTAGTGGGTAGAAGAACAACAAAGAACTAATCCAAAGGAGCAGGGTGTACTGTGGACCACTTTATGCTTTTAACAAAGAGCTTTTCAGCCTAGGGAAAAGGAGAATGAGACAGCATTGGAATTAGAAAGATGTAAACAGCAGAGCCGGCTGTTTATATAATCTAAGACAGGGACAGTGAGGGAGTATGCCTGTGGTGTTAATGACCCTGATGTGTTTCTGATATTGTTTGGCAGGTCATGTTGTAGTTTATAGCTAGACTGCAAGGTCTGTGCTTTCAGCCCACCACATCCACTTTAAGCTAATCCCGAATTAGTACCCTTTTACGGAAAACTACAGCTACAGAAACACCCATATCGGACACTGAAGACATTCTAAATTCCGTTTATGAACTATCATGATGGAATATATGTTTTATGTAAAACAACATGTATCGGGTTGCGTGAATGTAGAATTAAGTGAGGATCGGATAAGAAGGGACATGTGACAAGAAGGGCTAGAAGTGAGCTACTGAGTTCAGTGCTTGGTGCAGCCCTGTGAGCTGTATTTTTTTTCATGTTGAATGCCTTTCATTTGTGCAGCGGTTGAGTTGTTGGATTCAGTATGGCCGGTAGCTGGGTTAAGTGTGGGCTAGTAAAATACCTCATGTAATAACTGTACGTACGTATAGCCAACTTATCATGTCTGATTACTTTCAAAGACCACAAACTGCATTGATTTCTGATGACGACTGTTGGCTAGGGCACCTCAAGCAACTGCCATTTGCATTTACTGCAAGCGCATATTTCTGGATTGTGCCGGGACTAATTGTTTGTTCACCAGTTTTTCAAATGGGACAGTGAGGGCCGTTTCATTTGATTTTCACTGGCACGGGAACGGAACAAGAATGGAGAAATCCTATTGTGATAAAGTTGAAACCCCGACTTAGACTAAGTGTGAGCAAACTCTATACTGTAAGGACAATCAGCATTGACACCTTGCTGAATTACTAGTGTTTACAATAGTATGGCTGACTGGCTAGGGCCATCGTGCCTTTTTGCAATCCGCCACTGCGTGTATTAATGGCATCCGTCAGTCCCGGGGGACTATAGAGATGTGCCGCTGGCTTTGGGAACAGCATCTGCTGTGACTGTAAAGTCCGATGCGGGAATGGCAGTCTTTGCCACACAGGATACACACAAAATCAGATACTCCCTCGTTGTGATGCAATTTTACTCTTCGGTGCCTCCTCTCCACAGCTCGTTGTGTTCGGTTTCTTTCAAAATGTGACAGTCCATCTTTCACTTTCTGTCTCCATAGTAGTCGATCTGCAGCTGATTTTTCCCATGTCTCTGTGCCTATGTTGGTATCTATTAGGTCACGTTTGCATACATCTTTATAGCGCAGCTTTGGCCTTCCTGCAGGTCTGTTCCCAGTTACCAATTCACCATATAGATCTTTTGGAA